GTTTATATATCTTTTTATTTAAACTACCTCAACCTCGATCTGGATTCTACCTCACTCTATTTCTACTTTGTCTTATTTTTTTATATTTTTTCTCTTTTGTTTTTAAATGCCTAACATACTTTACTTGTTTAACGTAGTATTCAGAACTGTACTTTAAAGTTTATCAAGCTGTTTATGTCGTGTGCTAATATGCATCGTAATTTGGCTCTACAGGGCATCCCTGATGTTATGTTTGAATGACAATAAAGAGAATCTGAATCTGAAAATACTTTGTTACTTTACTTAAGTAGAAATTGTGGTTTGTTTGAGTAATTATTTTTCAGCCAACTTTTTAATTCTACTAATGAAACTTTCACACATTAATCTGTTTTTTTTCTTTACATTACAAAAACGTAATAAATGTAATAAGTAAGGCATTACTTCTATTTCAGTTTGGCTTTGTTGATGGAGGAATATATAATCAAATTCAACAAACTGCTTCCAGTGATTCGTGGAGTTACCCAAGTTGCAATTGTTTTTGCCACTTCAGCAGAAAACAAAACTGAATGTTAGTTTCTTAATTTCTGCATCATCAGTGGCTTTTTTTAATACTATAGTAAAGAAGAAAAAGAGAAAGTAGAAGAGAAATATGAGAACAGTAAAGAGAGAAACCGATAGAAATTATACAACATGTGAAACGAACACCAGTAACACACAGGACACCACACCCAACATCTGACCATCAGCAAATGATGAGAGCAAACACCCAGCAACCAAACTTAAACAGATGTATGTACATATACCCATACACACATATATAAATACATACACACACATTTACACATTCACCCCAGTTGCAATTGACAAATATATCCAGCAGGGAGCAGACTTTTCTCACCATGCTAAAGGAGGGGTTTTTTTTTTACGTCTTTCCAGCACTGAGAGGTGAGAAGATGAAACTCAAAAAACTTAAAATAAAAGGTATTGGTGATTTAGATGTTAAAATCTTTTAGACTGTGCAGTTTTATTCCTGTAAAGTGATAAATCTGAACTATCAAGAGGAATTATTTAAGATTTAAATGAGTGGATATGAGCATAAAGATGAGTCCTAAATGAAAATGTCATCCTGCTGGTTCCAGTGGCTCAGCTTACTTTTCCTGAAGTCTTAAACCCTGGTGGGTGCACTGCTGTGTTTTTTTAGCTTTTTTTCTGAATATTATTCTTATAAATGGTTTATGAAATGCTTCTGAGAAACATTTAACTGTGTCACTATAACTCAGAGCTGCTGCTGCTGCTGCTGGGCAAGACTTCAGTTATCTTTGGAAACTTGAGAAGAAGGTGGGCAGGGCGGTGCAGGTAGAAGAGTTTTAATGCGAGGATGGGAGTGTTTTTTTTTTCACGCGGGCTTCTCCAAATCTCTGCTGGTGGGTCCAGGGCCAGGAGCTCCCGGTCTGCAGTCTGCTTCTTCTTGGAAACTCGGGGAGCAGCTGAGAGAGGCTCAACATTTCAAACGTCTGGCGGCTGGTTGCAAAGTCTCCACCCTGCAGAGCAGACTGTGTGGTGCTGCAGCAGCAGGCTGGGGCCGGACACCCAACACATGTAGACCAGGTTGGTTCTGTCAGACTCAGTGATCCAGATTCAGTTTGTTGATAGGTGATTTCTTTAATTTGGACCATGTGTGTTCATGATGACATCTCCGCTGAATTGAAGTTGTGTATATTTGTGCCGTGCGTCCTCAACCAAACGGATTAAAAGTTCCTTCTTGGTCGCAGATGTCCGTTCAGCTGGAAGGAGGCCCGCAGCTGGAGACAACAGCTAAACTAAAGTCMGAGAAAGTTTTTGATGTGACGCGGTCTGACGGCTGCTCGGAACACCGGGGAGGAGAGAACCAAGTGGCCCCGTCTGCTGGGGGCCACCACCAGCAGCAGCAGAAAGCGCGCAAGATGACCCGCAGCCCCAAATGCGCCCGCTGTCGAAACCACGGCGTCGTGTCGTGCTTGAAGGGCCACAAACGCTTCTGCCGCTGGAGGGACTGCCACTGCGCCTGCTGCCTGCTGGTGGTGGAGCGGCAGCGCGTCATGGCCGCGCAGGTGGCGCTCCGGCGGCAGCAGGCTGCGGAGGTGAGGAGAGCGCAGGGACAGGTCAGTGAAGCCGGGGGGGGTGCAGAAAACAGACCGGGAACACTGCTTAAATGATGGATTATGGAAGTTAAAATGCTGCAAAAGAAAGGAAATTGTATAAAAAAAAAGTTTAACAAATGATTTAAAGCAGTTCTGGCAGATTTTGGCATTTAAAACACACTGGAAAAAACAAAAGGTCTTGTCTTCACACAATTGTTTTGCTTTTTAGTTGTAAACAGAAATGCATATGAAACAGAGCAGGGCACTCTGTCACAAAGATATAATAGTAGAATAAATTAGAGAAAAGTTTGTAAAAGCAAAAAAAAAGGTTAAACACTGAGAGGGAACTTTCAGAACAAATGGACAAGCACTGCAAACATCACGTTCCAAATAAATAAGTGTAATTAAGTTTCCAAACAGTTTTTTTTCATTGTATCCACTGTAGTTGAGGGTTTTCTTGTTTACTTTATAACTTCTTATTTATAATTCCTGTGAATGAGCTAGTTCACCATTTGTTTTAGTCAATTTATGGAAAAAAAATCTAAAACGAGATGTTTGTGAGAACTGAAAACAAATAATAATTTATCATCATCATCATCATCATCATTTTTATTTATAAAGCACCTCAACACCAGCCACAGCTGAAATAGGTGCTGAACATCAGCAAAAATGCAAAAAAATCAAAATAAAAGAAGATAAAAATAGATAAAAATTTACAATAAAAATAAATAAAAGAAGATAAAACAGATAAAATCACTAAAAATTAAATAAAATCAAGTCTCAATTGGGTTGAAGGCCAATGAGTAAAATGGTGTCTTCAGATGGGTTATTTAAAATAAATCATTACATTTAATCATGTTGGCCGAGCTTCAAACAAATGAATCTACTTTTTGTTTCAACTGGGTTCGAAAAAAAAAAAAGATGTGCAGCAGGAATTAGTCTGAGCCCAAAACACAAAAAGTAATGTTAAATACTGAACCGWAACATCAATTTATATCAAGCACCAGAAATCTGTCTCTTACTTTTTGAAGCACACTGATTTTTAAAAAAACTTAAATCATGTATTAACTCCAGTTAATTGCCCCCAGATGAGTGTCTGTTTAAGAAGTAATTACAAATGTCTGATTCTTGTTCACCTGTTTCTCTCAGGGTAAAAGGGGGGTCAAGTGTTCAGCCCCGTTGAGGAGAACAGCATATCAGTGTTTCAGCAGAGCAGCCGAGTCGAGCCTCCCGCCGGGTAAAGTTTAATTAACACCTCGTTTCTTATTCACGTTTCACCCAGACTGTGTTCAAGTGTGAATTTCTCCCTGTGTCATTGCTTTTAGTGTGTTCAAATGTATTTGTCACAAAGTTAAATAGATTAAATCTTGTGCCAGCAGGAATTGAATTTGAATTGCTCAGATTGAATCTGAAAGTGCATAATTTGAAATTGAATGCATCAGTTTGAAAATGAATTTTACTAAATTGAAACTGAATTTAATGATTTGAAACTGAATTTA